TTCTTGCTTATATCCATTGGGTTTCAGAAAAGCATTGAGCAGGTTCAGGTCAACGCTGCGAGGGTGCGATTCAGCACCCTCCCCAAAGTACCCGAAATGATACCCGTGGTTGGAAGACATGGAAAATGAAACAGAACGAACCTTTTTAGCATGCGAGAAACCAGAGACTGCGACAAACAGTGACAAATCAGTAATAGGGGTCACACAGTTTTGCCGCTCAGTGCACTAATCATTGATTCTTATTATGAGGTGCAAGATATGTGCAAATCAAGAAAGTTCAAGCGCATCAGCCTTGATTTCGCCTAACATCAGTTATCAGTGCTCGAAGTCGTTTATAGTCATCGTCATGAAGCATTGCTGCACAAATTCATTAACATTTAACAGTCATAGTTACATGAAGTCATCAACAGTCATCAGCCTTCGGTGCATGAAGTCATTAGCAGTCAGCAGTCATTGGTGACAGCTTCGGATTTCGTTGACAGCTCCCCCTGTCTTTGTTCCGTCTCCTGCCAGTGGCGGTCAGCAGTCCGTGCCAGCTCCCGTGTGACAGGCTCTCCCGTGTGACAGGCGCCCCCGTGTGACAGGCGTTCCCGTATGACAGGCGTTCCCAGGTGGCAGGCGTCTCGGCACCGGTCGCCGTGCTCGTCCGGCACCCGTCCACCTGTCGTTCCGGGGCGCCGGCTGAGGACAGTGGTGACCTTGTGTTCCGTGTTGGCCGACAGCCACCGCGCGGGCTGACAGGCGGCTAGACCGATATTTTCGCTGGGCTAGGTACTTAGTTTGTTTGGGTCCGTCGTGATGCAAGACAAACCAGTTTCTGATGGCGCCGCGGCACTGCGACGTTGGCAGGCTTACTGTTTAGCGGTTGGTGCACTGTGAGGTCGGCGGGTAAACAGTGCATCTGGCGGGTGTGCTGTAAATGCGGCAGCGAAAACTGTACAACTAGTGGTAACAATTTATGGCCAGAGGTGTTTACTGCTTCAGTTGGTAGGTACGCTGCCTAGTTGGTATGGTAGACCCTGCAGTTGGCAGGCGGGCTGTACAGCTGGTGGTTAAGCAGTTCATCGATTGATTGAAACGGTTTACATGTTCGGCAGCTTACAGTTTGTGAATACACGTGAGGTTTAACCCTTTTGCAGGAAAACCTTTCCCGCCGCGGGCAGGCGCTTCTCGCCTGTCATGGCTATCTTTATGTCTGTTGCGGTGAATTGTGCAGCTGGTTAGTCAGACCGTGTCGCCGTCAAAGCGGATGTTACAGGTGAATTCACCCTCGAAGCTGGAGCCGTCCGCTGGTTTGGGTTAACTCTATCACAGAGGACATCGGCCGCATGACACTAAGCGATGCATATTATAAAGCCGTCACCAGCGCAAATACTTTCTTCTGCTCTTCTTCGACTACCATCAACCGATTACTTTTGCTAAGACTTCCTGAAAGCACTTGCCTGAAAGTGGCAAAGATGCATGTCTTCACTCGCCCGACCTTCCTGCATCGAGGCTTTACACTCACTGACCCTCTCTTGAGCACACGTCAGATTTACGCGCCGCAGGCGGCGAATTAGACGCGTCTGTATTGAATTCCATGTTTGCGGTTCGAGGCGTGAGGGAACAGCACACAAGGTGACTGGTCTAGCACACTGATGTAACTTCCGACCAGCTGTCTTTTTCTTGTCAAGCTGAGCCCCAGCTCATCTTTGTTTACTGGCGACCGATGTGTTTTGAGGGCTCCCAGCGTACGACGTTGCCTTCTGCGTGAGTCGTGAGGGACGACAGCTACGTAGGGTTGAGGAGCACACAATCGTCATTCAGATGTTGTTCTAGAATTCGAGGAAAATGTTTAAGTTGCTGGTGGCGCGCCGCCGGACCTGATGCGTCAATGTTCAAAACTCGTTTCGCGAACGATATAGAAAGGATCCCTTGATTTCTGTCATTTCACTGCACGGCAAATGATCGTTGTTCAATTTCCTATCGGTTTGAAGACAATAAAACGTACCATTTTTTTCAGAAAATGAGGCTAAAACGTAAACTAGTTGACTCACGTACTCATTTGGCTTTAAAGGTGATGTTTCCGATTCCCCATATTTATTTCATTCGTTCGTTGTTTATTTGTTAGCTTTGGCCGTTTTTACAAAAAGTGCTTAGCCCTCCGATGAGCCTTGCCTTAGCCTTAATCCTTCCAACCGTTTGTGCTGGAACAAGCTGAAAAGCCGGGTTCTTGACGTCATCGCGTATTTTCATCTGGTATTAGTTACCGGTACGCCATACGACTTTTAAGCTTCCAGTATTATGTTTTGGTCGCATAATTCCCCCTGAATCGCGCTTTCGTCGAAGGTGAAGGGGGTGCCGTGTTATTATCCAGTCAAAATGTCGTGGATGACCACTTCTTGCCGACTTGGCTAGAATGAGACGTTCTTTGACGAGCTGGAATGCATGCGTCACTACATGCGAAGTCAAGGAATATGTTACAGTTATTGGCATGGGTAAATGTATGTGAAATGCAGAACTTTCAAGAGATCATCACGCTAAATCAGTGCTGTTCAGTGCACTTGCTGTTCAGGGCACTTCAGATTGTTAACAGTGACACCACTTGACTGCAAAACGCTCCCAGGTCATCGTAGACGGAAAGGTCTGAGAGAAAGGAGAGCCGACAGCGTCATCGTCCCACGTCAGGGCAAACTGATCCCAGGACGGGGGCTCCTCTGGGTGCTCATGACATGGAATGAAACATTTGATTTCACTGCATTTAATCCAAAGAAAATAGTTCTCAAACATATTTTGCCAACTTACCAGTAGTACAAGTGTAATGCCACAATTCCGGCTGACTTCACAGCACAACAAACTACAAACAGGTGCGAGCAAGCATTTGTAGTTCCCGAACATAATTTCGATTGACCGTCTGTGGGTCGAAGCCGTACCTAATATTGTAATGGTTTGCGTAATCGTGTGTTGCTATGGCTCGGTTTCCAGAACAGCTTTTGCTGCAGTTTTAACATCGGGAGCACGCACCCACACTTGGTGTAGGGTGGCCTGATTCCCAGGGGAGACGCTTGGTTCACACGGACCAAGCCACCGCGTAAGAAGAGTCTCTACTCCCGATAGATAGATAATCCCGATAGTTGAAGCCGCCAGGACGGCTATTTTGAGAGCGGTTTCGTAATGTTTTACGATTACGACGATATCGACCATATAATATATGTAGCCGAACTGAACCAATGGCAAGGAAATGACAAATGAATGAAGTACGGAACGATGAAGAGAAGGAAGAAAGGCGGCATTAAAGAAACAGAGAATGGCGGTGGAAGTGAAGAAGAATGTTAGGAGGGAAGAAAATCGTTGAAAAGAAAAGAAAAAAGCGAAGAAAAAAAAGAAAAGAAAAAAAGAAGGAAGAAAAGAAGGAAAGAAGGAATGAAGGGAGGGAGGAAAGAAGGAATGAGGCAGGAAAGGAAGGAAGGAAGAAGCGAAGGAAGAAAGATAGAAAGAAAAAACAAGACAGTGTGAAGAAAGAAAAGAAAGGAGTGTGAACCCGCCCTCTCCTGTTCCTCCCGCAGATCTAAGGGGCCTCCAAATGGTTCCCTTAGGCTGTCTGAGCCATCTTCATCATTCGCCGTTTTCATGACGCGGACTGGCAAGGTGGTCGTCGCGACACTCGCTTCTTGGCTTTTCCAAACCGGTGCAGAGAGCCGGCTGCGCAAGCCGTTGATCGCTTTACAGTGTTACCCGAAAACCGCTGCTGCTCCAAAACCAGAAAAACAGGAGCATGTTATTGGTGTGTAAACACGAGGAAGGGTTTCCCCATAGGCTACTGAAAATCTGGGCGCGATTGCGCACCATGGCGGGGAGGTATCGTCACAAAACATTAATGGGGGTCGCATCGCTCCACCTCCCAGAGCAGGTGCTAATTAATCTGAAAGCTCCAGGTTCGCACGAAAATGAGAAGGTTAGGTGGAACACCGGGGCTAGTTCGAACACTCAAACCATTTACGCTTGCCAGAGTAGAAGGTGAGGTACACTTCTTTCGTCTCCGGATGACGCACTTGTCGTGCCAATACAATTGCTTACGACACCAATGACCCACTTAATTTCAACCATCCACATACGTTCTTCCCCTCCCTTTCTCCCAACCTGAACCAAGGTCAACGTTATACGCTTTCCAAAAGCTTTCAACAGAGCACTCACTAAAGTGCGCATGGCAGTTGAGCATGAAAAGGGAGAAGTTAGGTCTCGAAGATTAAAGAAATGAGGCAAGACTATATAAAGATAGACTTATGCCGTTGAGCGTGAGCAGGGCGCGGCACCGGCTTAACCCTGAGGAAAGCGCAGACAATTGGTCACCAGGAGTAATATTAACATTTGTACCATAACCAGCAACAAGGCTTCTCTGGACGCCATGCTAGTGAGCCGACCCACAGTATTCATACGGTAGGACTATCATCGCCGAAGCAATAATTCATTTCAACACAGCCGAAGTTCCTCTGAGAATGTTGGATGACGAAATGTACTGAGCTTTAACAACTGTGCACCTTAACTGAGTCACTATAAAGACTCAAACCATCGCGATATAGCATCACATTTAGGCAACACTTGAATACCGTCTATCAAGTGGTATATCTTCACAGAAATGGCCGTTTTTTGTCAAGCACCAATGCGTAGAAAATGCTCATACGCAACAGCCAATTAAGACGACACAGCCTTATTGTATGGTCACGATTCTTCCGAGAATACTGAGACTGCACGCGGCCTACTGAAAAAGCCCAGCCAAAGGTGTTTGCCGGGTCAGTCCGCTTATTAAAACCCAAAGTTCCTCTACGTTTAATGCCAGCAACCCGCTTCGTGTCTCAGCGGCATTTAGCCAACACTTCAATAAATATTGTCGAAATTGACGCGCTGTGGCCCGTGGCACCTACAGACCGGACAGACTGGTAAAAAGTCGCGGGTCCTATCATGCATTGTATTTTCTCACAACCCACAAATATGATGGCTTTAGGCGACGCCAGGCCTCTTACCATGCTGTACTTTGAGGTTTCTACTTCATGGAGACGCGGCTGTCTCTATCACTCTGGAAAAGAACAGGACATTGATCGTGACGCAAATTTTCGGTTCAGATTGAACAAGGTACCATCAAAAGCATTTGATGACCAAATGACCGACAAGACCAGACGAGGAGCAAACAGCAGTCTTGAAGTTACGCTGTCAGGCTCTTGTGAGCCTCATTAGAATGATCACGAGACGCATGCACAAACAGCAAACGACCTATGTATTAGTAAATCTACTGGTGATGTAGGGGGAAAATGATGAGGTATTCATTTCCTGACTATTGGGATTTAAGGGCACGTGAAGAAATAATATGGAAAGATTACATGCCTTAAAATATTATCCACAAGAAAGACAACGACGAAAAAAATTCACTCCCCAAGAATCGTGTGGCATGGTTGAGCTGAGGTGAATGTAACTTAAAGCTGAGGCTCACACGAGCCAACATCAACGACCGGCTTGTTTGCCATAATATCGCATAACCTATTACTATCTCGCGTTCCCTTAGCCTCCGCCTTTAACCTACAGCTGTCTTCTAATGGTCGTAACGTTCCGCGATCACTTTACTCTAAGCGAGGCAACCTGCATCCCCTTACCATTTCAAACCGTCATAGAAATGAAAAACAACAGGCCGAATGCACCACTTGAAGTAAGTTTCACATCGAGAGGAAATTCACATGAGCACTGGAAAGGCGAAGGGATCGCAAAATATGCCCACTTTTCAGTCTTCCGTAATCAGTTCCAACACCAATCAGGGAGTTTACATGGTTTTGTGTATCTGTGAGCGCCCTTCGCGGCGTTCGCGCAAAAAGACAATTCTGTATCTTTTTTCGAAGACTTTAGGGTTTCTGAGACGTTACAGAGAAGATGTGGCGCCTTCCCCCCCCCTCCCCCCTCCACCAGCCAAGACAAACGACTTTTCGAGGCCTTCCAGTGCGTGCTGGCGTGCACCGCTGCGTGGACAGTTCCTTTATGGAGGGAGGGGAGGGGAAGCAAAGGCTGCGCAGACTTCAGCTCCTTCTGGTTGCGCCTTCCATGATTTTCAAAGTCGTTCTTAAAATCAAAAATCAGGAGATCAGGAAATCAGGAAACAAAACACACAAACACAAGCATGGTTAACATGCGGTTTATAGAGGAATTGTTTGCTCAGTTTAAAGATTTAATTCCTTAAAAGTTATTGTTGTGTGTAGTTAGTTGTTGAGGGTGTTGGGCATATAAGACCAGAATGGTTGATTCACTATTGCATCCACCGGAAAGAGACAAGCACCCACGATACGATGAAACGCATTTACTGACATCGATCGTGTCGAAGAAGGTCGAAGAAGTCCGCTGCAGCGTCCGGCTCAACATCAGTTGGTTTCTCCTCGGGCAAGATATCCGATAGCAGGACATTGTGCAGTTACTTTAACACATAAATGGTTTGTTGGTGTTTTACAACAAGCCTCACGTCACAGCCTATTCCTGTACATTTTGCTTTGATCTTGAGCATAAAGCACACCAACTTCAAGACATGGAAAAAGGAGACACAACGCAACTGAGCCCAAGCCCAAGCCAACTGCACTCTCACTCTGCTGCTTCGTTATCCAGAGACTACACACCATGCAAGACTCTCCGCGTTTAATGCCCCTACACATTTAAAATCATGCAGAAAATGCAAACAATTTGGCTTTAGCGGTCACTTGCAAGCCCTCGAATACTTGAAGGCAGAGCTTCAACTACTCACACCCTTAACGAGCGTCACTATCGGGGAGTTACCTGAAAAGTGAAAAAACCGATGTGATTGAAACATTTGAGTTCAAAACAGTCCTATAACCCCCATCTAAAAAACCCGCGCTTGTGTTGTATAGCGTGGCTACGTATTATGCTGATGGGAGTAATGCTCGGCAACAATGGGTCCAGGCTTCCCGTCCCCGACATATTGTTCAGGTTGTTAGTGCGCATACACTGCAGTCAAGAAAAGGAAATAACAGGGTGGCGGCGGGAGTGGAGGAGGGGGAGGAGGGGGGGGGGGGGGGGCAACAACAGAATGTGCTGATCTCTGGCCATGCGGCCGAGGTTAACCTGGAATAAGACCGACGGCAGCAGTGTCACCAGCGTTCATCGTCAACATGATCAGCAGCTACCGTGATTCGGACGGCCCTTATGCATGGCACGCGCGCCCGTTGTCAGACTACGGCGTACCTGTCTTCACTCCTGCGGTAGCTACGCACCCACAAATGCGATGAGGCTGGATTCAGAGGAGAGCAACAGTTACAGAATCATCGCTGGCCTGATGTGGCAAATGCAGAGCGATACCTTGATGTCCCAGGCCAACGGCAAAATGCCCTCGCTGCATGCGATGCGACTAACAGTCATTGGGTAATGCCGCATGGTTCAGATGCCGAAATGAGTCTTTATCAAATAGCTGATTGGCTCTAAGCTCAACAGGCTATCGTCTATGCCCCTAGCCGAGAACACTGCCAAAGCCCACGTCCGTGTCTACCGGCTGCATAATAAGAGCATACGACCGATGATTTTATGTGGAGTATATGGATTGTGAATGTGATTTTGCATGGCATATAATTGTATTCGGGGAAATAAAAAAAGGCCAGAGAGCCACCCCGCTCACCAGACCATCGCATTTGAAACCATCCGACGTCACACCGTCACACCGTGATGCTGGCCGCGAAACAGATGGGGGGCAGCCCCAATGCACGTCGACGCCGCAACTGTTCGCGACAACTTGACACGCCGGAAGACTGACACCACTCCCAGGTGCGGACGGGCCTCTCTGCGCCATTGCGAGGCACTCGTTTGCCTTGGCCCGCACACGAGGTCACGTCGCAGGCGTTTTGGTCTGCCCGGAGCGCGGGCACCAAAACCGTGCGTAGCGTTCCCTCGAGGGATTTTTGCCAGCACCACCATGGCCCGGAGCCGGATGTGGCGGCTAAACCCACCACCGTAAGCAATGATCAGTGGGCGGCCGAACCCCACGCTCATGAAAGCGTTGGTGATACCGGCGCAAACATTCCAACGTTTGTGATACCAGCATATATACCGGTGATACCGGCGTTGATACCAGCGTTGGTGGTGTGCATGATATATATAAACTATGGTGTTCATACCATATATATCATATCATATCATACCATACCATACCATATCATATATATATATATATATATATATATATATATATATATATATATATATATATAGATCATTGATAACGGTGAAATATGCGTCAAACGATATACCGCAGCGATCGAAGGCTCGATTCAGTCGTTCCATTCATGGTAAATAATTGAAGAAACAATGTTCCAGCATGCATCCAAAACCATTCACTTTCGCATACAATAAAAAAACTAAAATTCCCGGCGAGTAATAACTTTTTTAAAACAGCCTTTGCACCCCACCTGACTAAATTTGGCGGGAAAATTGTTTACGAAGCCTATTTCTGCCATCGCCATTGCTTGCCATTGTTCTTCGGGCAGCAGTGCCCGCGGCGAATAGTCTTGAGGGCCCACGAGCTCGAACTCTCGACCCAAACACCCCAAAAGCGCTCCGGACAGAAGAATATTATACCCAGTATCACAAATAGCATATGAAAACGGTGTTGCGAGGAAGTTCTAAAACATCCCAAATATAAGCTGGACTACCTTCGTCGCAGTACACTTTCCAGAGGAAGTCCTTCTTTAACTCTCCCAGTGGAATCCATATAAACCACCTGAAAGGAAAACAATTGTGTTTACATGTTTCCATTAAAGAATGGCGCCTATGCACCGTGGTGCCACAGAGAAGGGAAATAAAATGGTCGAGAAAACCTTTCCATGACGCTGTTGCGGGTGTATTTACGTTTTCGCCGGCCACAATGTTTAAAGGACATTTTTATGACTAAAACGAAATAAGGCGCACACCAGACTTTCCGAGTACTCTGTGAACCGCCTCAAAGATAGTGAATGCTTACCTGCATGGAAGATATTTAGCACAGGTTCGCGCCTTCAGCACCGTGGTGGGGCTAATAGAGCCAGACGCTGTGATGGAGCTGACGAAATCATACAGCGCAGTGGTGTTTCAGTGAGTTCAATGTAGTACGGCTGGTGGGATCAGACACCATCTTGCAGCTGTTTGGGTTAGGCCGAGGCACTACAGTAGGGCGGTGAGATCAGAAGATATTGTGAAGCTGATATGATCAAACGCCGTGGCTGAGCTGATGGGATCAGACACTGTGATGGGGCTATTGGGAGGCCCGGCACTGTCAGACACCATGGTGGGATTGGTAGAGCCAGACAATGCGGTGGGGTGCATGATGTCATGCACTGTGATGACATCCTAGTGGTTACGGCAGTGGTAGGGATGGTGGAGCAAGGTACTGTAGTAGCGTATTTGTCGGGATAGGACGATGCAATGGTGTTGGCAGGGTCGTGCAATGTGATGGGATAGATGGAAAATGAAAAGTACACATGAAATCCTAGGTAAGAAGCTGATGAAAATGAATGTTGTATGCCACAATTGCTTCATGCCCTCTTCAGAGAAGTCATTCCCTAAATAATTTAAGACCTTCCTGACATCAACTGACCTGAATCCAGCCAGTCGCACTAAGGCCTTCTGGTCTTCAATCGCTTCAATATCTAATGGCTCCCACACCACCTGAAATAACAACAATGCTCAAACAATCTGAAGTGGGTAAAGATTAACTAACGTCGAGATGATAAGTTAAGTGCAAACATTTGAAAATCTGCGATTTGATCCGTCTGGACAGTTTTCTCGAGATCCTTCTGAATAGCTCAGAATTTGTATTCAAGAAGCTGCTCCTGCATGAGAAATCTCATTAAATTCCATGCCCATCACTAAGTAAGTAATACATTGAATTTGACTTGCTTTTTCCAAAGTGTGTTCTATAATTTTTGCGATGCACTAATGTGTCAAAATATGTGTGCAATCAATGATACGAAAGCCTACAGCACTCTATATGAACAGAAATGTACGCGAACATGAGATGATTATCTAGAGAATTCAGCGAAACTTTAAACCATGGCTTTGATTTCTTCACTCTGGCGTTTACCTAAGTGGGTATTTTCGGGGCGCGCTTTGGCGTTGGGAATGGGAGTATCACATCGTCCATAGTGACACAATGGTTTTAACTTTAACCAGTGCGTTTCGCGGTAACAGGCCCTTGCCGTCCACTGGGCCAATCACGAACATCTCTTTTTATTCACACAAGTAGAGATGTTGGGGCGGTTGTCATGACAATGGTTTTCGCGATGTAGTGCTGCTACAAAGCGTCGACAGCGTAATTTGGACTCTGAAGATCAAAATGCATATCCTCCTTATGTCTCTAACGTTCTTAGGTATGGAAAACCTGATGTTTGAAATGGCTTTCCCTCCGATGCTAAATCCGTGCCCAAAGCCTCTAGAAATGTGTTGTTCTAGGGGTTGGGGAACATGTCCATGATTACCCGCCGACAACATTTTTGAAATGTAACAGAACATCCTCTGCAAATGCATGAAAAAATTACAGGCATCCCCTTCCAAACGTCTGGTCTAGTGTGAAAAACCTACCTAGACAATTGCATGTTCTTGCTGAGGTCAATCTCTTCAACCACCTCCAAAAGCTAACATCTTGTGTACCGTTTCAGGAACTATCCCTACCGAAATACCATAATATAACTGTTACAGGCAGATGAGTCCTCCTATTGGCTACAGTTGTCAGTAAAGATGGTTCCCCAATCCCTTTCGGATCTTCACTACTTACTTTTCAAAATCTTGCCGGACGACAATAACTTACATCCAACTTAAACCCAGTCTTCTCGTTTGAGAGGCCACACACCGCAATGAAACCATCAAACTCGTTCCAAGAACACGCAATGGCGACAATAGAGGTCCGTATCTCATGTGGTGTAATGAGATTTACACTAAAATATTTAACTAGCACCGGTTTCAACGTGATTCGATTCGATTTAGATGCTTGCACCAAACGCAAACAACTTACAAGTGACGAGACCATATCCTGGAACAGCTTGATTTCCCATTTCCTTAATCATCCTTATTCTCTTCCAGGAGACCTGGGCGCCAGAAAAACTTACACACCCGCGCAATTCGCCCAAAATAACACGCGTTACACAACCAGAAGCAAAATGCTCTTAATCACGTTTTTCGAAAACCAGCTGAAAACCGAATAAACATGTTCAAACAAGACTGAGAATCCCAAGTAAGGCTTCTCAAAACCAAACTCTGGCATTTGGGCCTCGGTAATGACTACCAGATCCCGACAGTGACGGGTTATTGGGTGTGTCAGCGGGTGTTGTCCTCTGTTTTCATGACACACACACACACACATACACACACACACACACGCGCGCGCGCGCACGCATATATATATATATATATATATATATATATATATATATATATATATATACACGCACACCAGTGACCCTGGGCGTGGATTCGTCTCTTGACCAGTGCTGATTTATTGTGAACCGTATGACAATCCCGCCGCCAGCCAACCCTCTCGACCTCAGAGACTCTCGTTAATCCCAGCGATCGCGACCAACCACCATGACCTCTGGTGATCCGAAACTGGCATGAACTGACCCCTGACGACCCGAGACTCGTCATGACACCACCAGGTGGAGGCCGACGAGAAGATGCTGTACAAATTGGGCGGCGTTCTGGTGATGAACGCCTTCGAGGCGCGCGGCCGCGGTCCCGGCACGCACGTGCGCTGCCTGTTCCCCGACGCCGGCCTTCCGCCGCGCAGCTGTTACCCCAACGTGCAAAGCACGGTCGACCGGGAGTGCGTCATTTAGCTGCGGGCCGCGCAGCCCATTAAAAAGGTACGTTTCGCAAGGCTAAAAAGGTAAGCTTCGGCAGATCCTTCATGATATTGTGGCATAGTGAGAGGACGCGGGGTGTTCGTAAAGTTGTCTTACCTCACAGCCTGTTATTACCTCTCACGCAGTCTCTCGTCTTACCGCCTTGTCATGCTTGCAGTCCACATGGCTTCGTGTCTTTTTTTCCTTATTTGACTTGCATGTTTATTGCCCGACATGCATGCACTGATGTGTGTAACTACTGGTTAAAACGTGATATCCTAACGAGCAGCATACCCAATTGTCCAAAAGGCATGAAACCACTGAAATATATGGAGCAGATGAATACTGTTGTTATCATGTTGTTTCTATTGCATGAGTTTCCGTCGAAGTAAGTGGGAGATCGCTATAATAGTCGAGTGCCATCGTGACATGTCGTGTATGAGACTCTGCAATGTTCACTGCCGCGTATTTTTCATAGAAGTATGTTTTACATAGCCGGGAGATCTAAATTAGCTTAGTAACTATATGTGGAACTCTGGGCATTTATCATCATCCGAGATGGTGGCTGCCTTTATCTTGAATGCTGTTCCTGACTCGAAACTTTTTTCTCGATCACTCGGTGGATCGTGTGACGAGACGCTTGACAAGGTTTTGACCTAGTTTTCATAAGTTTTCTATGTCTGTGAATTGCACTCATGAAGTTATTTGTAGTTTGTGGGGTCAAAGTCAAGGTCAACCCGAAGTCCAAAGATCGGAATTGATCTTGAATCAGCAGAATTGCCTCTGTTAATCGAAATAAGTCGTTTGTTGTACTTTCGCACCCATTGTAAAAGTGCACGCACATAATTTGCATATGTTATGAACTATTATATAAGCATGCACCACATACACAACGCATATGCTGTAGAAGACGCTTTTCACTTGGATGAGTACGTGAAGTTGAGTTGCCATTATTTCACTTCACTAAGCCTTGGTATGAAGGACGGAGGGCAGGAAAATTCTTGGAAAGGCATGCAATGTGCGGCCAAATATTACAGCGAATTGAGGCAGCCACAGCGACGATTTGCACATGCCTTGATGGACCGCAGGCGGACGGCTGTGGCACTAGCCGTCCGGATCGCGCCGAGCGACCGAGCAGCATCATCTGTTAGCAAATGCCCTGTTGAGCTGTCAACAGTGCCCCTGCTAGCCTGTCAACATTTCCCCTGCTAACCTGTCAACAGTGCCCTTCGGGACCTGACGCATCGTCCATCTGAGACCGTGGCGCCGGGGCTGGGTTAATCTGACGCCGAGCTGAATTAAGCCGGCACGGAATGCGTGTCGACGCCTTGTCGACGACAGGACCCGAGGCGCTGAGACGCCCAAAGGCGTCTCCACGCGTCCACCAGTCACGTCCGACGCGTCGAGGAATGAATCGGCAACCCCGTTCACATACGCCCGTTTCCGTGGTGTGGTTCGTCGAACCAGCAGTAACAGCTGCAGTGTGGCGCAGTCCATCGCCATGGATCCGGACGTCCCCGCCCAGACCTTCTCCCGCCATGCATACCTGCTGCAGGACCAAGCCAAGAGCTCAGCACAGCAGGGAGCGGGTCGCTGTTTAACGCTGGCCGAATCAGCCAGCCAGGCCAGACAGCCGTGCTGACCATACGGAGACGCCCCGCTGCTGCCTCTGGTCTAGAAGACCCTGGCCATACGGAGATGTCCCGCTGCTGCCTCTGGTCTAGAAGACCCTGGCCATACGGAGACGCCCCCGCTGCTGCCTCTGGTCTAGAAGACCCTGGCCATACGGAGACGCCCCCGCTGCTGCCTCTGGTCTAGAAGACCTTGGCCACACGGAGACGCCCCCGCTGCTGCCTCTGGTCTAGAAGACCCTGGCGATACGGAGACGCCCCCGCTGCTGCCTCTGGTCTAGAAGACCCTGGCCATACGGATGCGCCCCCGCTGCTGCCTTTGGTCTAGCAACCCCCAGCGTCACGCGACGGCTGGGTGCGACTGGCTGATGGAGGGTGCCAGCCTGTGTGTGCTCACGACATGCCCTCACCTGTTTGTGCCACCTCCCGCCGGCGGGCCACACCGCCACACTCGTCGCTCAGTTAGACGACCGGTGGACGCGAACACTCCGGCACAGCCCGATGTCGACGTGAACACCTCCGACGTCCAGTTCATCATCCGTGGCATGCAGTGTGATATGCGTCGGAAGTGAAACACCATCCAGGACCATCGTGAGTTCCTCCGCAGGCAGCAGACGGGCGACGAGACTTTGAGGATTACCTCATGGCTTCGCGCGAAATCGCCCCGATCTGTGCTTTTTTCCGGCATTTCACCGTCGTCCCGATGTCCGCCTTCGTGGCCTATGTTCTCGATGAACTCCCCAGGTCCGGTTGTCAGGAATGAATCATAACTGGACCGGCCCAGCACTCTGGACGCCTAATACCGGCGCGGAAACGTCGTACATGAGCACCACTCAAGGTGAAGCCTCGTACATCGACGCTGACGGTCTATATCTGCCCGTAAACAAACTGTACGCAGCCGGTGGATATGAACAAAAGTGCTGTGGAAAGGTTAAGTGCGACCTGTCCATTGCATGATCACAGTTGCCGTGACTGTAATTGTCATTCACGGCCTCGACACCGCTCTGTTCTTGTGGCATGCCCCCATCGCTCTCGGAATTCTGTGCCGTCCTTCCCGACACGGGTGGCGATCGTCACGCCCGACCCCGCCGTTACTAAGCCGCCGCGCCGCCGGCACGGGCGCCGCCGTGTGACGTCAGCACAGTCCAACGGGGCACGCTGCCACGGCCGGCACTGCCTCACCGAACACATAGGGGAGGCGCCGGAACGTCCCCGCGCCGACGTAGCACCAGCAAGCGACGAACGCAGAGTTCGGTCCAGCTCTCCCGGAGTGCTCCCATGCCAATGTAAAGCCTGGCTGTATAAAGCGAGCGAGTGTGAACATGACCGGATGTGCGGCAGCCGTACATGACAACAGTTCGTTGAGCAAAACTTGGGGGAGGGGGGGGGGGGGGGTGCGGGACGCGTCATCCATCGACACCGTGGCGGGGAAGGGCTGGGGTAATCTGACGTCGGGCTGACATGAGACCGGCGCAGAATGCGTGATGGTGCGACACGAGACGCTGAGATAGTCAAGAGACCTATCTATCGACG